TTTACACTTAGTAAACATGTCAGTCTCATCAACAAAATATTAACTACAGACTGTAGCTTTAGTCGCATCTCATTGACTTTCATATCTAACCATGGACAAAATGTCAAATGCTATTATAAGCCTCATATCAGAAATGTTGGTTAATGAGAAAGCAAATGGAGGGAAGTGACCTCTTGCAAGCAAAGATGCAAAACCTAACATAAAAATACCACAACTACAAGGATCCTGTTGAGCAGGAATCCCATCCACTGATGTATCAAAGGAGGATGTAGGCCCGTCCACATAATATCTTTCGCGAAGATTGTGTCGATGAAACTCCGCTTCGAAAAAATCTTCCTAACGTTCAAGGACTGAAACATAGTCAGCACGAGGGAGAGAGTCTATGAGGTGGAATTTACAGTTAGGACCGTCTATGCTGACATAAGCTAACGCCCAGTGATTTTCAAAATGAAGAGGGATAATCACTAAGTCATAATCAAAAAGATTTGTGTCCTTCACCCATTTCATCTATTCGGAATATGCGGTTTCAAACCTTGAAGGACCTGACAATCGAGTGAAGAAAAAGGAATTGAAAATGTACACAAAAGAAACCCTATCTCTTGTCACTTCTGTACATGCCGAATCAACCTTGATGTGATCATTGGTGATCTGGACGGCTAGCAGGTACAAATTAACGACTTCGTTATTTAGCCATTTCTCATCCTCGACGACGACCATGATGTCTTCCTTTCCCACCTTCCAGCTCCCCTTGTAATCGACAATGCCGTATGCTTCATTGTCTTCGCTGCTGCCTGTAATCATGTCAAGATACTCCTTTTCTTCTACGGTGAGGCGTTTTGTTGCTAAAAGAATCTGGAACGAAGGGTCATGCACTGCATACGAACACACATATAAACAACAATGGAACGACTAAGACTTCATGCGAAAACGAACTTTTCGTTATATGATGTACGACGTAGACTCGAGTTCATGTTTTTGGTTGTCTATCTGTTTCGCTATCAGAGCTGCCATCCACAATAGATAAACTGCAACCTTCGCGATGCAATTTCTTCCCTTCTCTGAGGCTTATTCCAACAGCTTTAAACATCCTTAGGGAAGCTGGCTTCATAGATGGAAATGTCATGGGTGGAAGTCTTCTTCTCTCTTTTTTGGGCAATAACGACAAAGTCGATAAGGCTTGCAAGCCACGACGAATAATATTCTTCTCACTCTGCGTTTGCGAATGTACGTGCGTCGTTTTCCACAGTTCTTTTCGTCGCCCTGCATGTTCAGCAATATAAAACGACAATGATTGACAAGACAAAACATTATGAGTTTAAGTTCAATTTTTCACATAATTGCAAATAAGAGATACACAATATTCTACTTCATTTTTTCTCATGACAGAGCGCACGGTTGCAAACTTAGGCAAAAAATTAGTTCCTATGAGATGAGTGCATCTACCCCCTAATCCGCATACAGTATTAGATATTCCCTTAGAGATAAGCACGTGCTCACCTCGGTGGCTCACTAACACTTTGTCTTTAACACGATCTTTTATCGCACCATGCGATGGTGTAAAAGGAGATTCGTCGATAGATATCACGAGGTTAGCAGACTGTTGCGCTTCTGATTTTGCAACCATAAGTTCAGGCTGTACAAGCGTATGTTGCTCCCGTGTACTTAGCACTATATGTCCTTCATCCTCTTCGATGACTTGTACATTGGCAGTTTCGTTTGCACCTGCAGTCGCGCTTTCATTCTTCATGTCCAGAGAGACTTCATGTTCATCTTTCTCAGCTGGCATATCCAATGGCATCTCTAATTCTGCAAGTGCACCAGTATTATCCACGTGCGCAGTAACTCTCTCGCTCGCCAACACAGTGGTCGCTCAAACTTGGTCATCCGAAAAGACGTCCTCGACACATTTGGGCAGTTCTCCATGACTTACGCCCTTGACGCTTGCACCGCCGCTTCCTCCCAAATCCTGGCCACTTACATCGCCTCTCGATCCCCTGCCATGTGCACTGCCGCTTGGTCCTAATCCAAGAGGCGAACCTGATCCTCTGCAATGTGCACCGCTGCTTGGTCCTAATCCCAGAGGCGAACCCGATCCCTTGTCATGTGCACCACCGCTTGGTCCTGACACCTTTCCCTCTGTTGCTTGACGCCCTTGACACATTTCATGTTTTTGCAATTCACCATGACTTATTGGTTTTCCACTTGCATCAACGCTCGGTCCCAGGCCCTTGCCACTGGCACCGCCCCGTGGTTCCGATCCCTTGCCATGTTCACCACCACTTGATCTTGTTCCCTTGCCAAGCGCACCGCCGCCTGATCCTGATCCCTTGCCACTCTCATCGCCGCTTGCTCCTTTTCTTTCCCCAACTTTGTCTTCAAGTTCCTCTTCGATACGCCAATTATATCCAAAAGCTGGACTTGTTTCTCGATCATAGAACTCTTCCAGATACTCAAGCCATCAAGATGTTTTGAACTCCTCAAAGATTTATTATGTCCTTGCATCCAGTCTTGATTGAGAAACCTTCGGATTAAGTCGCAGTAGTCGCTTGCCAATCTCATTTTTGGCGTGTGCGACAAACTTGGATCGTGACATGCGTATGTGGAGGCAAAATTGCCACTCCCCTTCTTCTTTTATAGCCATTACCCAGTTCCCTCTCGCCAATGCAGGTTGGAAGTGGTGGGGGTGCCATATAATGTGATGACCCCATACGTTGTCAGGCATCACCGTATAATCGTCCCGGCACACAATAGGTCCAGGAAGCCGTGCAATGTCCGGAGGGATGATGTCTTCAATCTCATACTCCAAAGGCTAAGACGGAGGTGGTTGAGGAGTTTGCGAGTGTAGCAATTCCAAAACAGTAGTCGGGCTATGTGCAAGTGCTGACAGACTTGCCATAACCTCTGGGGAGAGAATTGCCTGCAGCCTTGGATCATCTCGAACTGGGCCGGAAGATAGCGCTGTTGTGTTGCCCGCCATGTAACTGGTCCATTGAAACTGGTCCGTTGTAACTGCCATACTCGAAGCCCCCCCAGAACCGGACGATGTGCCCGGCGCACCCATCTTCTGCGAAGCCGAGCTACAAGTTTTTTGCCTCTCATCTGCCAGAGCCGCTTGCAAAGTACCATCTTCACTTTCTTCCTCTGAGTCCTCAGCATCGAAGCCTTCCCCAAAATAAGTTGCATAAGCTGCGATTGTAAACGCCCCGATTTGTTCGTCGAAGTACATCATCTCTAAACGGTCTAGAAATGCAACTTCCGTCTCCGCTGGTGCCTTATGATACCCCCTCAGAAGTGATTCCATTTTTCGCCTTCTGACGACATATGTACGTTCCCCTTTGTTTTCTGGCGTAGTCTCGAAAAGGAACTCCCAAATGTTGACGATGCTTTTGCCGACTTTGTAGACGAGATCACGTTTTTCATCATGTCGAGGAGGCGGCTTAACAAATTTGGCGAGGTAAAATCCACTCTTGACCATCTTGGTGACGAATTGAACTAGAAACTCGAACTTCATACCCTCCCCTTCCAAAACAATGCAATGACGGTGACTCTTTAACAACTCCCAAATCAACGTCGCATGGCCTTTTCCCAGGAAAACAACCGCCTCATCCGCAGGACAAAAATGCTTCAATGTCTCCACCATCGCATTTGGCTCCCTTTCCATACCTTCGTACACCAATTTCTCCCTTGGCTTCATACCTGCCATTTTCAACTTCGTGGGCGTGAAGTTCTTCTCCACGACTTCAGCCAACATCTTTGGCCTTCTCTCTCTGCGCACAAGTGTTGATAAGTCACCCGCCTGCTCGCGAGATGATCGATCTGCAGCTGGAGTGCTTGCTGGAATGTCTTCAAGCAACGGAATAGTGTTGCGGTGATAATCCCCATCGTTGGAGTACATGATGAAAGTCATTCTGTCTATGTCCTCCAAAGGCAAGTTCGCAACCTTATATAAATGCTTCGCCTTCGTTTGCAGCTGACGAATCCACTTTATAATAGACAAGTGAATGTCAATCTCCCAACTTGTAACTCACTTGAAAAATGTATACTCGCAAGACCGCGGAACGAAGCACAATAATGTCCAGTAATCACTAGCCAGTTTTCCCATGAACTTTCGCAGACCATCAAAGACTTCTTAAGTCCACACCCCTATCTGGGTTGGGTGACATAAATCCAGCACGGCCATGTGGCAACTCAGATGTTTGACGACTCTATATATTTCCTTGAAATCCATCTCGTCTGAAATATCGCTTGGTTCCCGTTGGAATGGGACGAAAACAGAGTTCACGTTCTGTCTTTTGAAATGTATATATTGCGCTGAGCCCGACATTCTTATGCTTTCCGAACCCCTGGTTTCTGATCTGCGCAGCAGCTTGTTGACAAACTGCACGAACTCTTTGGGGCACTTCGCAGCAAGTGACGCTGTTTTCTTGAAGCCCTCTTGTCCTTTTTCCTCCTCTCCTCCAAGTGTAGCCGGGAACGTTCGCACCCAACTCATCTCTTTGAAATGGCGACGCTGGTCGATCCACCTCTCATACGTCAATCCTTCGTCAGAGTACTTATCAAACAAATCGGAAAGGTTGTTGAAGAATGGTTCCGTCCACTCCTACGACTTCCTGTGAGGGTCAGAAATGAAGACGAAGTAGTGAAACATCCTCAACATTGCTCTTTCAGTCTTCACCATTTCCACATATGTTTCCGTTGAATGTTTTCCGCCACGTTCAGCAGCTTCACTTCGCTTAGGAGTCAGTATCACACTGCCTATGAGAATGTCTCGCAACAGTTGCAGCCGCTCACGCCTCCCAAGCATTGAAAAAGGCTTCCACACTCTGATATCCGGATCGTGCACAACCACGAGGTAGCCAGGTCCTTTGGTACCCTGAACCCAGTGAACCGGATACCTAACTCCACCTTTCAACTCAAATCCGGGTTCAGCCCTCGGTGCCTTCCCTGATTCACCTTGTTTGGTAGCAGGCTTCACAGCATCTCTCCCCGACAATTGTCCAGCTTCCCAAGCGGCGTACACTTGTTTCACCTTTTCGAAAACGTCATCTGTCGCCCTTGCCAACAACATGTAGGGCCCGAGGGCGTCAGACCACTAGCCGCTCCAGTGAGTAGTAAGGGACATGTCAATCAAATTACGAATCCCGGTCAAACGAAGAGCCTCTCCCGCAAACTTTCTATACTCTGCATTTTTCACTTCTGCCGCTGAGCCGCCTTTAGCTTCAGGACAGTTCGACTCGTGCCACAACTTCCGTATGTTCTGGACGACCACGTTCTGGTGCGGTGGGGTATTCCATTTGTCCTTGGAGTTTTGGAAAGTGCTCAGCGTGCAATAATTGTCCATGTTCTTATCCGGATAATAAATAGGCATCGCAGTCCAGCGATCCAATCGGAGCTCTTGTGCGATGTCAGGGCGTTCAACAAAACACCTTCTTGCCGCCGCCACGTTATGCTGACCGCTGAGAGGGTAGTAGTAGTACTTGTTCACAGATTCGAGATCGAAATCATCGGGCAGCACCCTCCTTGCTCTCACAATCCTCTCTGAAGCGTCAGTATGCAATGTATCACGGAGGGCAACCAACAAAAGGACAGGCTTCTCATACAACGTACAGACATTCACACCGGCAGCTCCAGTCATTCTCTCTCTCATAGCAGCCTCACCTGATGCAATCATTGCGTCATAAATGTCGTCAACCGTCTGCTGCACAAGATAACGTTGATTGTATCTGAATTCCCCGTCCGGAATATCCAGAATTCTGTCGAACTGGACAGAAATGAATTCCATGTCTGGACATTGGTTCCCATGCTTGTCCAACTCAAGGAAAAAACCTTTGCTAAGAACACTAGAAGAAGTCACAGATGGCACATTTTGCAAACTTGGCGGCCTAGTAATTGTCTTGCCTTTGGCCTCTTCATCCGATTGTGGTTGTTCCGCTGGAAAAACAGAACTCTTTTTCATAACACCACCTTTTGCCTTTCTTTTCTTTGGCTGCTGCTTTTTCTTCGCGGCTGCCTCAATCTCTCGCGTTCGCTGGACCGCCTCATCCACGGGCATTATTTTCAATCGTCTTTTTTCACCCGCTTCTTGCCTACTCCGTTTATTATCCATAAGACTTTTCCTCTCCCGCCTGTGCTTCCTCTTTCGCTCAGCGAGCCCTACAGCATCTATATGCCCAGCCACAGCCACTGTCGCGTGCACATCCCCCTCATATCCTTCGTAGCTGCTCCCATATCCTCCTGCCGGACCAACCTCCCCACCCGATGCGCTCACAGTGTGTTCACTGTCTTCATCCTGTCGAACCACTTTACTTGTCTCTCCTGGATGCCTTATCATCCCGCCGACACCCGCAGCATACTGTTCCTGTCCTCCTGCTCGTTCCGAATATTCCTCGTTGTTCTCTTCATCCTCATCTTCAAAATACTCATGGACTTCCTCTACGCGGCCCAGCACACTGTAGTCATAGCGCTGCTGGCCCACCAAGGGGAGATGTCCCTTGGTGGCCACATCATAGCGCGATCGGCTGCCCAAGGCAACTGGTGTTTTGGTCGTCGTTGGCCTGGTCTTCATAGGGGCTGACGGTACGACCAGTCCGCGGCACGGACCCTTATCTCCTATCTGCTCAGCTTTCGGACCATGCGGCGTATCGCAGATCGTGATCGAAGTCCCTGTCTCCACGGTTCTCGAAAGCACGCATTTAGGCTCTGATATGCGGTCCTCTGGATGCACAATCGGCTCTCTGCCCACGATCACATTACTGTCGAAAAACCCGAGGACATCAACGAGGTTAGGCAACTTCACTTCCAATGTCCCTGGTGGGTTGAACACATCAACCAGCGACTTTCCAAACCCCGCGTGTTTGGCCCATCGAAGAGCGACGTGTTTAATGTTTGGTATTCTTTCCCCTCTTCCATTTAGGACCATCGTCAACTCGAAAGTTGCAAACGGCACATTTTGCCGAGTCTACCTCACCAGGCCGCCAACCGGCACAATATTTTCTTTGATGACCACGTATAGAACAAGGCCACTCGATGGTTGTCCGGTCTCTGCCACCTTGTCCAACATCCATAATTCGTCCTTGTGGTCAATCACGGGGACATCGTCTCGCCGACCCGCGACAGTCGTTTCACCAGACGGTTTACGTTCGCCAGACGGTTTATGTTCTCCAGACGGTTTGCGTCCGGGCATAACCTCCACTGCAGATCTCCCCTACTGTGGACCAGGCACACGTTCCTGACCCGCAGGCCCGACAGTCATCAACACAGAGCCCCGAACACGAGTCGACGGAGTGCCCGTGGAAGGTGCACCCCTCGAAACCAGGGTGCGTTGCCGCTTAGACCCCGGTGCCTCCAGACTCCCAACCCCAGCGGCCGGCGTCCCCTTCGATTTTTTCGGAGATTGTTCCATGCTCCTTGAATTCTTACTTGCTCGTCGTTTACTTGCCTTCCCCTCTCCTTCCATGTTTTGTAGCGCTGCCTAATCTGAAAGCAACACAGCACATCACCGCGAAGCAAAAAATCAGAAGGCCGCACAACGTTGGCATGGCACGAGGAGCAGAAAAGTTCCAGATAGTGATAAGGGAGCATCTCCTTCGTGACGAGGCATCCGCGATCGTGTTCAACTCGATCGTGATCGTGCCCGTGGTCAACACGATCTCGTTCGGCGCGAGATTGACAGGCCAGCTCGATCGTGTTCGACTCGATCGTGAGTCCAGGCTTATCGTGTTCGACTCGATTATGACAGTCTCGATCGCGTTCGACTCGATCGTGCTCGACTCGATCGTGCTCGACTCGATCGTGTTCGACTCGATGGTGTTCGACTCGATCATGATCGACTCGATCGCATTCAACTCGATCGTGTTCGACTCGATCGTTTTCGAGTCGATCGTGAGTCCAGGCGATCGTGTTCGACTCGATCGAGTCGAACACGATAAGCCACGATGGAGATCGATTTGTGTTGGATCCGATCGTGTTTGATTGTGTTGGACACGATCGTGAGTACAGACGATCGAGTGTCCACATCGAGTCGATCATAATCGAGTCGGACACGATCGTGAGTCCAGGCGATCGTGAGTACAGACGATCGTGAGTCCAGACGATCGTGTTGGATCCGATCGTGAGCCCAGGCGATCGTGTTCGACTCGATCGTGTTCGACTCGATCGTGTTCGACTC